TCCAATGATAAAGATTAGTTCATGCATTAGGCACAGTAAGAGATGAACACCACTAATAACATAATAGAACAATTATAACAGGATACTATGATAAAAGTTATGTGACTGGGGTCTCTCTCACAAAATATCTTATTGTACTGTATTCATCCTTTGCCTTCTGGTGACGATATGAGATGACAAAATGGCTGCTCCATGACATGGAGGGACAGGAATGACGTAGGCATCGTGACATAGGGTTAGACTACTACCAATCCTTTGGCAATCTGTAAGGGGGTCATCTGCTTCTGGACTACCAGTAGATTAGGGTAAATGAAGCTGTGGAAAGGACAACCGTGAGAAGGCAGGACTGCTGTACCGATCCCCAAGGACAACCACCAGCACTCCTTGAAAATTACGGATTCCAGCCAGGACTGGAACTAGGAAAGTACAAGGTGAACCTGGGACAACATTTCTGTTCTCCTACATAGATGTCTGGGGACACTAGTGTACAGACACACATCTATACACACACACACAGGTAAGTAATAATTAATAGAGTTAGAAACTGAAGTGGAGTGGTTTCTAAGATATCTTCTTAAGAAAAAACGCAAGACACAAAAGACTATCATACACTACTCTTCTGCATTAGAGAAAAGGTGCTTTTTTTCTTTTTCTAAAAAGAAATACAGCAATGAGTGTTCCAACACTGATGTGACTATGTCACAACGACAAAGGGGCCAGCTTGAATAAGCTCTCATTTTGAGTATTAAAATCAGTAATGACAGGAATGGGTTAAAACACATTTAACAACAAAAAATTCATGACTCCAAACTGAGTCTAAATAAATGTAGATGGTGTGGGGAGAGAAGGGAGAGGTTTTCTTTACAGAAGAATCCCAACTAGTAAATGTAGACAGAAAGATAGAAAAATCACCATTTAAAAACCACCATAGTTATAAATTGATTCGACCAAGAATGATCTGTGGATGCTAAAGCCATTGGGTGAAAGATCACTAAGGAACGGGATGCAAAGAAATCTGACACAACCAGGGCGCCTGGGTGGCTCAGTTGGTCAAGCTTCTGCCTTCAGCTCGGGTCATGATCTTGGGCTCCTGCGATGGACTCCCTGCTCAGTGGGGAGTCTGCTTGTCCCTCTCCCGCTGCCCTCCCCTGCCACTCATATTCTCTCTCTGCCTCTCTCAAATAAATAAATAAAAGCTTAAAAAAGAAAAAGAAAAGAAATCTGACACTACTTTGAGTAAATGATAAAACATAACATCACCAGTAAAGGAATAAACTGACATCAGGCATCTCCCGATGTGATACACTCATCTATGAGCCTCATCTCTGTGGCACTCCTGCCAAAACACTTCACTTGAATATAATGAAGAAACAATCGGGCAAATCCAAGGTGAAGCACATTCTGGAAAATAATTGGTCAGACTCCTGTACTATCAATGTCATAAAAGACACAGAAAACAGCTAAAGAATTCATCTAGATTAAAGAAAACTAAGGAGACCTAATAACAAAGTACAATGTGTTATCTCTGATTGGATCCTGGACCTGGAAATAAAAATAATGCAGAGCTAATTGGGGAAATTTGAACACAGTCTGCATATTCAATAATTGTACTCACGGTCCTTTTTCCTGAGTGTGAAAATTATACTGTGGTTATGGAGACAAATGTCCTTGTTCTTAGGGGACACAGTAATTTGTGTCAAATGTCATCTTATCTCCAAGTATCTTTCAAATAATTCAGAGGAAAAGACGGATGAAGCAGATGTGGCAAAATGTTAAATATTGGTGAATTTAGGGGCGCCTGGGTGGCTCAGTCAGTTGGGCATCTGCCTTCAGCCCAGGTCTCAATCCCGGGATCCCGGGAGCAAGCCCCATGCCAGGTATGCTGCTCGGTGGGAAGCCTGCTTCTCCTCCTTCCTCTCCCTCTGCCTGCCACTACCCCTGCTTATGTGCTGTTTTTCTCTGTAAAATACATAAATAAAATCTTAAAAAAAAAAGATTGGGGAATCTCGGGAGAATTGTATGGGTGTTCACTGTTGTGGCGATTTTTCTGTAGGTGGAAAAGTTTTCAAAATAAAAGTGTGGGAGGAGTTTACATCAACGATATTTCTGCAACTAAAGATTTACTAATGGAAGCCTCTTTATTTCAAACAATCGCAATATATTTGGAAAGATACACACCAGAACCAAGCAAAAGACAGAAGCTATACACGCCAAAAAAAGACTGATTGATGTGACCATGTAAAAATGGAAAGGAAATATCTCTCCATCAACAATGGAAAAATAAAAAATAGTCATAAACTAGAGGAAAACATAGAACAGGAATTAAAAAAAGGCTACTGTCCTTGCTATATACACTCCCTCTTATAAATTAGTAAGAAAAAATTAAATATGCCCAAAAGAATGGGTGCATATGCTCAGAAGGCATGAAGAAGTAACACAATAAAGAAAAAAAAATAATAGCCAATATATATCTTCAAGAGGCCAATCTCCATAGTCATCAAAGGAATTTGAATTAGGGGCACTCGGGTGGCTCGGTTACCTTAGTGTCTGACTTCAGCTCAGGTCATGACCTCAGGTCCTGGGATCCAGCCCCTGCCTTGGGCTCTGCCCTCAGCAGGGAGTCCGCTTCTCCCTCTGCCCTTCTTCCCCTCCCCCTATTCATTCTCTCTCTCAAATAAATAAATAAAAATCTTTTAAAAAAGGATGATATGGATATATTTGTACAGAAAGGTGTTCATAATTTTCAGTGAAGAGAAGCGAGTTAAAAACAGCATGGCGAAGATGGTCCTATTTTTGTATAAATATATTTACATACGTACATATGCATAAAAAAGCCTAGAGGGACATTCTCCAAAATTTGTCTAAGTGGTTTTTTGGAAGAAGGTTGTTTTTTTTGTTGTTGTTGTTTTTTTAAACAGATTTTATTTATTTATTTGACAGAGAGATCACAAGTAGGCAGGGAGGCAGGCAGAGAGAGAGAGAAGGAAGCAGGCTCCCCACTGAGCAGAGAGCTGGATGTGGGACTTGATCCCAGGACCCTGAGATCATGACCCGTGCCAGAGGGAGAGGCTTTAACCCACTCAGCCACCCAGGCACCCCATTCTAAGGATATGTTTTAAAAATGGGAAACTGGGTGTTTTGTTTTCAATAACATTAAAGAAAAAAGCATTTGTATCTGAGATTTATTCTTTTCCTTGGCACAGTCAAGGTCGAATTTAAGGAATATAAGGGATCCCTTTGATCCTCTAGTCTCCTGAGAACACTGGGGCTCAGTGAGCCCACTGAGCCATCCAGGCGCCCCTGGAAGAAGGTTATTATGAATGCTATTCTCCTTTTGATTTCTGTATTTTCCAAAGTGTTTACAATAAAATTATTGCTACTATAATTATAATTTTCTTTAAAAACACAGATCTTTTTCAAAAGATCACAGGTTAACATTCCCTACTATATCCCCTATCCCTGGAATAGGACTTGGCACGTGATAGGTACATAATGAATGAATGAGTGAAAGAATCTGGCTCAGTTCATGGATATGGTTGAAATTTATACAGTAAAGTGAAATAAACCACGGACGTAGAGTCACAAGGCCAGGGTTCGAGTCCTGGCTCCTGCTTTAGCCACGTGGCTGTGATTACAATGCCTTAATCTCTTAGTTTCAGCTTCCTTATCTGAGATGGGGGGGAAAACCACATCTCTTAGGAACCCGTTATGAGAAATGATATTATAAATGAAATAGTTTGTAAAGTACAGAGTCCTACATGTGTATTAGGTATGATGACGGCACAGTGGAACCTGGAAGAGGTATCTCACATCAAGGAGGGTTCTAGACAATGTGGGTTTCATCGGAGAAGACTTCTCAGAAGATGTGAGATGTCAAAGGAGACAACGAATGTGGAAAGTATGCCACAAAAGTAGAGCTGTCACCCATGAACACCATTTGGAAGGGAAGACAAAGGTACGCACTGGAAGGAGCATGGACCCCCTGGCTCTGGGGGAAGGGCTTCCTGTGAGTGCTGAGTGCAGGTAAGAAAGCACGGCAGCTGTTCGGCCAAGTCAGGAAGCTTCCTGGAGGAGGTGATCTGAATAATGGATGAGACCACATGTCTCCAGCACAAACCTTCAGGGCCCTGGTTGTGCCCTGTGGATGGTGGGCAGGTGTCAGGTGAGAAAACGGAGGAACCACAGATGCAAAACTGTCTTCTTTCTTGGGCCACAAAGCACAGGTGAACTAACACTCAGATGTCCCAATGCCCTCTCCAGACGAAACTGCAAAGTGTACCCAAATTGATAATTATTTCTATGATAATTGTCAGTGCTTGTACTGATAATGCCTTGCTAAAGCATTATCAGTGCTTCAGTAGTGAAATTATAATTAGTAAAATTATAATTACAAATATTATAATAAATATAATTAGTGAAATTATAATTTCATTATATTATACACAATATCAGTAATTTTGTCTGCAGTGAATTCAGCATAGTGAACTTGCAAGGATATACCTTAAAGACTTTTGTATAGTGAGGATGACTATAACATCAACAATGAACCTGAAAAAGGGACAAATGAGTGTCGGTCAGGTGACTGGTGGCCTTGCCTGTCGTTTTCACATATTCCTGGAGAGAACTGAGCCATTGCCTTGGAAACACTGACCAGTGAGTGACCCGGTAACACAAGAACTTGCCCAGCTGGCTTTCTGGGAGTCCAGCAAAGCTTTCCACCCTCCAGCCTTGACGGGCTTTTTTTTTTTTTTTTAGATTTTATTTATTTATTTGCCAGACAGAGATCACAAGTAGGTAGGGGTGGGGGGGAACAGGCTCTCTGCTGAGGAGAGAGCCAGATACAGAACTCGATCCCAGGACCCTAAGATCATAACCTGAGCCAAAGGCAGAGGCTTAACCCACGGAGCCACCCAGGTGCCCCAGACTTGAGTTTTCTAATTTCTGGAACCCTTCCCCCTCTGAGTCCCTCAGCACAGATAATACCCTCTCATTCCCCATACCTGGATGAAGTTCCGTTCATATTCAAAGAAAAGCAGTGGCCACGTGATGCTGATGATGGAGGGGAAGAGCTTCTTCAGAGGGGTCTGGAGAAAGAGAGAGAGAATGGAGCTAGAGCAACATCCCCAGGAAGGCCTTGCTGTAATTGCCACCCCAGGTTCCGTCCCCAAGGCTGGACCCTCACCGGCAGGGTCTGCCCCACGGTGCTATGCGCCAGGGCCCGGATGTTGGCAGTCTTCTCCTTCACCTGCTCCACCAGCGCCGGCACCTCCGTGAGGTTGTCTAGGAGAGGGGAAGGGCGCCAGAGATGAAAGCTGTTCTTCCTGTTCCCTGCGGTCCAGTCAGGACACGCGCCCCTCTCCCTTCCTCGGAGCAGGTGCTTTAAGACCCAGAAAAATGACAGTTCCCCTGAGTCACTCCCCTGCCTATGTCTGCTCACCCCACCGCCCCTGCCTTCCCTCTCACCATCCAGGGTGAAAATGAAGACCACAGTGTCGATTTCTGTGAGGGATGGCAAGGTGGAAGTCAGGGAGTCCTCTTGGGAGAAGGAGAACTGGGGACCCTGGGCACGAGAGGAAATGCCTATTCAAATAGGAAAGTCTGGACATTGAATGAGGAACCCCCATGTGCTGGGGATGAGGGGAGGAAATCGGTTTGCATTCAGGAGGAGCCAGAAAGAAAGTCTGGACTGGGGTCCCACCGGCACCAAAGGTGTGGATACACTCCACTCCATCCATGATGGCAGTGATGCCCAGGGTCTGCCAGCCAACCAGGTACACGCGGCCTTTTTTCTCCAGGCTGAGCACCGGCCAGAGGTCAGGACACGAGAGGAGATATGGCAGTGAGAAAAGATCAGGGATCAGAGAAAGATGCACACGGCCAAGCACAGGTGCAAACCAACAGAAAGGTTACCGTGGCCTCCATCATGCAGACCTGCTCCCCTCACCGTGTTAAGGAGTCCTGTAGAGTCTTCGCTGTTCTCAGGACAGTCCCCCACCCACGCCATGTCCCCACTCCTAACACGTTTCCACACACCTGGTGCAGGCTTGCTTCGTCAGGGCAGCGATCTTTGGGCTTTGACTCTACGTCACCTGATGAGCCGGCTCAAAAGTCCGCAGGATTTCCAGAAGGCACCTGGGAGAAAGGCCACCAGCTCCCGGGGTGGGCCCAGGGCCCCTTCTAGATAGCATGAGTACCCACCCTTGCCCAGGGGAAGGCACAATTCCCTGAAAACTTAGTTCTGCTGGTCCCTAGTGGAGGCAGAACACATGACAGAGGACAGAAAGGGCTTCAATGAGCAGAACACAAAGATCCAACAGAGGGCAAAGGACATGAAGAGAGCAGTGAGAGGAGGATGGGATCGGAGTGGACGAGGAGGTAAGTGGGGATTCTGGGAGCCAGGCCAGAGACACAGGCCCCCAGCAGAAGGAGTTCTTCCTGCACGACCTGGACCATCCCCAAGCCAAAGACTCGCTGAAACTAGGTGAGCTTTCGTGTCCCAGGTGGGCTCAGGGATTAGGTGTTCCAGGTGGGCACAGAGATCAGTGGGACCTGAGGAGCCCAGGGTCCACTGGAAACAAGTGAGACTTTGTGTGCTAAGAAACCCAGGCCCAGGGTGCGGTGGGGGTGGTGGTACTGGGCCTGCGTCTTGCTGCCATTAACCCGTCTGTCTCTGCATCTGCACTTGCCATCCCCCAGCCCATACCGACCCCCTCCCTGCCTGACTCTGACAGCACTCTCCTACCTCTGAGAGGCTGCGCTGCCTTGGTCCAGTCTTATGGGCGGCCAGTAGCAAGATTTCCAGCAGGATCTTGGTCAGGCTTCCCCCTTTCATCCGGGAGGAGCCACTAAGGCCCTCAGGCTAAGGAGGTGATGACCCCCGGGAGAGGTTGGGAGAGGAAGGAGGATCCTGTTGTTCACAAATTAGTAGCTGCTGGGCATGTGCTCCGGCTAGAGGCCCCTGGCACAGAGTCTGGTTAGTAATTCCTGGGCATGTGCGCTGGTTAGAGGCCACTGGGCCTGCATTCAGCAGGACTGGGGGTGCCCAGTGCGCTATGAGGAGGGCTGGGTTGTGGGCTCCACTGAGACAAGCAGAAAGAGGATAAGGGCCACCTCTGGTCATTTCCATGGCACATTTAGGACTCTAAGGAGGAGGCCACAGTGACTAAGTATCCCATTAGCAGGAAATAAGTGTTTTTTGGAGAGGGTTTTGTTTTGATTTGTTTTTTCAAATAGTTTCTTCCAACCCAACCCTCCACTTTTTAAATAGCAGTTTGTCAATGCAAACGTCTAATTTCAGGTTCTTTGGACAGACCAGTGAAGCAGCTATTGTAATGGACAGGGATGTAGCATGACACACCAAGCATAAAGAGATTATTGCAAAGAGAATGATCAAATTGGTGTCTGAGAAAGGAGATTAAAAGTAAACATCTGCAGATGGGAGGAGAGATGAGCGCCTGAGAGCTGAAAGATATGGACCTCACACGGGGCGGCTGCCTTCCCATCTCACAGTAGGAAGAGCAAGGAAAATGTCACACATGGGTCCATCCCTGGCAGAGAGGTCCAGGGGCACGGATGAGCTCAGGGCCTTGTCAAGTCAAAGTGAGGGTAGACCACACTCGAAAGAAAGAGGAGCACAGGGGCACCTGGGTGGCTCAGTGGGTTAAGCCGCTGCCTTCGGCTCAGGTCATGATCCCAGGGTCCTGGGATCGAGCCCCGCATCGGTCTCTCTGCACAGCAGGGAGCTTGCTTCCCTTCCTCTCTCTGCCTGCCTCTCTGCCTACTTGTGATCTCTGCCTGTCAAATAAATAAATAAAATCTTAAAAAAAAAAAAAAAAAAAAAAAAAAGAAAGAGGAGCACAGAGGCTTGTAAGGTCCACCCAGTTTTGGAGAGGATTAGAAAGGCAGAAGAATGAAACTGCATGCCATTGTTTTAAAGCCCACCTTTGAAATGAAAATGTAAGAGAAACAGAAAGCAATTCACCTTTCCATTCAATCCTCTCTACTCACAGATGCAAAAGAGGTTCTTCAAATGGGAAACCTGCCCTAGGTGGGTTAGCTGTTTAATGATTATGGATTTAGCAGACAGGGTCAGGAAGGGACTGGGAAAATATGATTTGCTTTACGACATTTTAGTTGACACACTACGCCAGGAATTCAGACAAGATGTAACAAGATCGGAGGCATCCAGGAGGCGGCAAGCATTCCCTAGGTGAGGGTGGGGAGGATCCTACCCCAACAGCAGGATTGAGCACAAAAGCTTCCTGTTTCTCTTGCAGCTTCTGCATGCGCTCTGCTCTTTGTCGGAATGTGGAACTCCAGTCTTCTATGGGGTCATTTCTGGGGCCCACAGAGTGAGAGACGTGGGGAGATGGTGAGAATCTAAAGGAAGGGCCTCAGATGAGAGTCGGGATCAAAGACCACATTGGGATTGGGTCTAACGTCAACATTCTCCTAGAGATGTGCTTTGGAACTCATAGGGGCACCGTGTCCCTGAACCCCAAGGAAAAGGGTTAGTAAAATATTCAACAATTTAATCCCACAGCAAAGCCAACACTCAAGTTTAGCTCCAGCCTGATACCAGAACTTTCTTGTGCCCCCGTCCTTGCCCTTGTCCCACTGCCATGGCCACAATACCCACAACTCTCTGTAGGAGGAGTGCCTATCATCAGAATGTCAAAACTGCTACTTTATTTTCAGTCTTAAGGTCCATCAGAAGCCCTTCTCATTCCTGGAAATATATTCTGGCCATCTCCCCAAAGAGTGAACCCCTCACTACCTGAGGGAGGGACAACCATTCCTACTGAAGGAGCACAGCTACAAGGCATGAAGCGTAGCATCCAACAGTTGGCAAACATTTCTCGAATAAATTAACCACGAACAAAACAATGTGCTAAGGGGACGAGAGAACATCAGGCTTGTTACCTGCTTAGGTGCAACCATGGAATCTCAAAGAACAGGGATCTTCTGTAGTTGACCTCTACTGGTCAACTCTGCTAGGGGATACCTGGCCAATGACTCACTGTGGCAGGAGCTCAGAGAGTTACCTCTGTATAAGGCCTCCCTAACCTCCCCTCATCATCCCATCCCTGCAAAATGTCTACCCCTTCTTTAACTATGTTTGTATTTTTTCATTTGTATTTCCTTGATGGCAAGCAAATTTCACATATTGCACGCCCATTTTGTAGAAGTGTTTCCTGTCATTTGTCCTCGAACTACTTCGGAAAGTCCCTAGAGACCTAAGCAGAGCCCGGAGCTAGGGTTCATTGTGCGGTTTAACACTGAGATCCCCAAACTTGGCTAGTCATCAACATCACCTGGGGAGTTTGGGTTGGTGCTTTTTTTGTTGTTGTTTTCTGTTTTTTTAAACTACCCATTTCTGGATACCACGCCCACCCTGAGAGTCAGTTTCAGGAGTTCTGGAGTGGAGCCCCCAAATCTGTATTCTTAAAATGCTTCCCAGATGACTCTGAAGATCGGCCAAGTTTGGGAGCCACTGATTTAAGGAACAACTGGAAGATCTCCACACCCACATGGTTTGAAATCCGTCATTTCACTTAGTCACAGGGCCTGAAATTAGCATCCACTGCAGCACATACATTTTTGGTGAAGGAGAGTCCTCCATTAAAAGGAGCAGGGTTAAAAGTATCTCAGACTCATTTATATTTTCACATGAATTCCTAGAAGCCTGGAATCTGGGAGTTGAGAAAGGGACCTCAGAAAGCACCCGGCCACCCCTCCCCCCAGGACCACCACTGCATGTGCAGAGCCGCTCTTGAGGAGTCCACAAGCCTTCCCTGGAACATTCCAGCGACAGGAAGCCTTCAGCTTCATCAAGAGGCCCCCGCCAATGGTGAAGTCAGCAGAGCTCCCCGCACCTGGCTGGGCACCAGCATCTCCAGGGCTGGTCTCAAAAGATAAGGTATTTCAGGGCCTCACCCCAAAGCGACAACATCCGAGCTCTCGCACAAGGGCCTACGAGTCTACTTTCTTCTTGCTTTAATGCTCCTGACGCTGAACACCTAGGAACCACACCTTAGCACGATCGGTTTCACACGCTGACCTCTGGGATCCAAGCGGCCGTCTACATAGAGAATAAGGCAGAGGTGATTGGGTGGCACAGAGTGCTCAGGAAAGGGGGACAGGGTGGGGGTTTGAGTAGCCAGAGGGGGACCCAAGGGGAGCCTAGGATGACAAAGGAGAATGGTTCCACAATAAGGGAGCTGGGCAAAGGGGAATCAGAGGCCACTCAGCACCCACGGCTCCTTTGAAAAGATGCTTCTCTTTGGGGTATGCATCTTCCCGACCCTATTCTATCTTCTGGCCCTTGTTTTCCTTGTCTCTTCACTTCCTGTTTTGAATGTCTGCTTTCTGGTATTTTATGTGGCCTTTGTAAGCTGCCTTCAATCCTTTCTGAAATGAGACTACATCAACCAGTGGACCAAAAAAACGAAACAAAAACGGAAACAAAACAAAACAAAAACCCACCAAAAACAAAAACCTCATAAGCTCAGGGACAGTCTGTATTTACTTTAATGTTCTGAGATGCGATCAATAAGACCATAGCCACCATGCCCTCCTCTTTGTGGCTATACTGTAGATTTTGGTTTTTGTTTGTTTGTTTGTTTTGTTTTGTTTTTGTTTTTTTTAAGATTTTTATTCATTTATTTGACAGACAGAGATCACAAGCAGGCAGAGAGGCAGGCAGAGAGAGGAGGGGAAGCAGGCTCTCTGCTGAGCAGAGAGCCCGATGCGGAGCTCAATCCCAGGACCCTGGGATCATGACCTGAGCCGAAGGCAGAGGCTTTAACCAACTGAGCCACCCAGGTGCCCCCGTACTGTAGATTTTGACAGGTTTCCTCTCAGCCTCCCCCAGGGGCCTGGCCAGTCACTGCCTTTCATTACAGTGGGCTCACCTTGCCATGTTCATGGGGTTGAAACCAACCAGGACTGGCAAGAAGGTGGCTGGGTTGTCCATTCCGTAGTCCATCTGGCCTGCCACAAAGGGAGCCTGATGGTAGGGGGAGAAAAAGGGCATGATGAGAGGGGAGGGCTTACTCTAGTGTTTCCTGAGGCCCAGGAGCATCAGAATCCCCCTGAGTGCTTGTTAGAAATGCACAGTCCCAGGCCCAGGTAAGATCTACTGGATCTGCCTTGGAAGGGGACAGCCCCAGGCCTGTATTTTTAACAAGTTCCCCCAAGGAAATCCTCTGTATGGTAAAGTTTCAAAACTACTGAACTAAATTGTATGCTCCTTAAGGTCAGTGTCCTGCCCTCCTTGTGTGCCTCCTTCCGCATCTAGCATTGCTGGACCTGTTTCTGCTTAGTGAATTGTTAAAATCGTATACTACAGTGGTGAGAGAAAATTTGGGTCACCAAATCCAGTGCTTGGAATCTTGTTAAAATGCAGACTCAGTAGGTCTTGGTGGGGGGCGAGATTCTACATTACTAGCAAATCCTAGGAGATACTGATGTTGCTAAATAAGGACCATGCTTAAGTAGCAAAGGACAGGTCCAGGGGTCAGCTTCTTCTGTAAAGAGCAAGAGAGTAAATATTTTAGGCTTTGGGGCCCCTATGAACTCTGTGCAATACTCAACCCTATCGTTGTAGCATGATGTGGCCATAGATCTTATGTAAACACAAATGGCTGTGTCTCAATAAAACTTTATTTACAAAAATGGGCAGCAGCATGATTGGCCAGTGTGCTTTGCTGACCCTGGGACTAGTCCATCTACCTTGGTTGTTGAATGGACTGATACACAGGTATTCTGGAATAGGATCCTTTCCCTGTCATTCCACATTCATGCAGCTGGGTCTCAATTAGTGAGAGTAAAATCAAAATTCCTTGTGCGAACCCTTTCTGTTTTCTAGTACCCACTTTGTCAATCTATTTTCCATGCTGTTCTGCCCCCACCCCCTTCCTCCCTCTAGAATGGATCCCCCCAGGCTGTCTTCACACTCACAGAGAGTCCCACCGAAATGCCAATGACAATCACCCTCTTCTTACCAGCAGCCACCTACAAGAGGAGGGTGGGTGAGACAGTGCCACCAGGAGGATTCTAGGATATAAACCTATTGCATGGAGATGTCAGGGTCAGGACTGGGGAAGAGAACGGGCTTTGGCTGGATGGGACTTTTGTGTCCTCGCGAGAAGGAACAGACAGAGATGTCTGGTTGGCTATCAGGGGAAAACACAGACCTTCTTCAGTTCTTCAATCCCGTGCAGGGCGCTATCTTCTGTCCCCTCCCTAGATGCCACCACAGACCCAGGAGGACAGACTCAAAGTCAGTGGCACTGGTTTGAAAGTAGAAGGTTACGGTATACTAGGGAAGAAAAGGGAATGCTTTAAGAGAAGGGAATGATGGGAAAGATATCATTGAATACCTACTATTTGCTAAACACGATGATAGATGCTTTCTAGGGCTAAAAATACTCCAATTCCTACAAGGGCCAGTCAGGTGACATGAGTATGTGAAGTGGGCCAAGGATAAGGCAATAAGAAATGATGGGGACCAAAGCAAACTGGGCACAATCTCCACCTGAAAGCCTTAAAATTCTATTTCTAGAAAACACTATCGAGGCCAAAGAAAATATTCACGGGCCAGCTTGGCTTACCTATCACCGCCTGCAATGAGGTAGGTGTAAAGAGGTTTCTGTCCTAGACCTTTCATCAGCTGGTTGAAGGAGACTTGTCCGGGGGGAAGGACATGAGGTAGTGATGAAAGTGAAGGGAGCGGTTACCTTGGATTTTGACAACTAGTATGAGGATTCCCTCAGACCAACATTTAAGCCAGTCCTGCTTGGAATTTGGCACTTTGAAAGCTACTTGCAGATGATGGCTTGGGGTGCGTGGGATTTAGAGACACGTGCAATAGACGGAGTGGGGCCCAAGTGGGTTCCGAAGATATAGGGGTTCCATGGTGAGATCCAACTTTGAGAAGAGAAGGAGCCAGGCCTCAAGAGAGCCACCTAGGAGCTTAGCTATCATGAGCTTTATGGTCCTGAGGGTTACCCTGAGAAGGCAGAGGAAGGAAAATCGGGGATCAGGGTACTCACTGACATGAGAAAGGCCATCCTGCCAGAGTTGCCCCCACCACTCAGCACCACCAGCCCCCCCTCAGGTTCCTGAGAAAGAAAAATTGCCTGTGTCGCCAGGGCCTAGCTCATAGCTCAGGTTGGGAGAAGCACATTCCTTCTTTGTCAGCAGCAGAAGAACTCCTGGGGAGACTCCTTAACCCTCCTTTTACCACAAAAGGGAACAGAAAGATGCCTGGATTTGAGAACGAAAATTCAGTCTGACTCCCAACTCTGGCTTAGCTACTGACTCAAACCCTTACTCATCCCAGAAAGGACGGAGAGCAGCTTTGTCATCCACCAACCACTCAATAAAAAACAGCACTACCCAGCAATTATTAGCTGGATATATTTGGGCAAGCTACTGTGATTATCCTTTGTTTTCCTATCTGAAAAAAAAAAAAAAAATGGAGACAACACACTGATTTCACAGGTTTTTGCAAAGGTAATGAGTGTGAAAGCACAATGTCAATTACAGAGTGTGATGTAGATAATAGTTATTATAATTACTGTTGATTAATAAGATGACAATAAAGAGGCCAGAGGGAGGACTGGGAGAAAGGAGAATGGAGATGGAATAAAATGAGAAGTGAAAGCCAAGAAAAGAGAAAGGGGGGAGGGAGAGAATTAGGAGGGGAGAAGACAGATAGACTGTATCTTCAGCACTTCCTGAACTTTGCCAGCCACTTGGACCATGGTGGTCAGAATTGATTCACTATACAGTCTCTGTAGGGAACAGGTGGGAATCAGAAGCCAAGAAAAGGATAGTGGATTTGGGGGAGGGGAAGGAATGAATGGTGTGGTGGAGGGGCTCTCAGGTCTCAAACACTAAGGACCATTGGCATGGAGTTGGCATCTTTATTTTCAGTGTCCAGGGGATGGGTGTGGGTTACCTGGTCTGCGGGCATGACTTGCCCCTCCTCCTGGAAGATCTCAGCATCGCACTGTCCCAGCAATCAAACAATTTGCTCGGCATCTGCTCTGTCGAGGTCCTGGGTCAGTGGGTTTGACTTATCTGTGATTGGCAGGGCTGCCTCATACCCAGACAACTAGAGGGAAGGGGGCCCAAGGATACAGACAGGAAGCCCAGGCCTCACTCATGCCTCTTGATTTGGAGGTGGGAGTGGCAGCAGGCACAAGGTTTGGGGACACACACGCACACACACACACACACACACACCATCCAAGGATTTAGCCTGAACTTGGTACTCTGGGCCTAATAGGGGAAGGTCAGGAAGGAAGATGGGAAGGAGGAGAGGGAAAACAGAAACCCAGGGTGGAGGGAAGTCCAGATGAGAAATGATTCTAGGAATCAGTACAGAAGACCAACATGGAGAAGGGGCGGGGGGTCTCCCCTCCCACTTGCCAGGCTCTGGGGTCTCAATCACATGTTGAAACTGTTTTGTGCCCGGCATGGTCGCACGCTGTGGACACCCTGTCGTGCCGGCATCTTCAGCCACACAAACTCTCTGTCACGCTAACTCTGCTTCCAGCGGGCGGGGCCTTATCTGAGCCACAGTGATGATTAACCCAGGTACCCTGGCCTCTCTGAGCACCGGCCCCTCTGACTATCTCTCCCCATACCCTTTCCTGATCAGTTGGCCCCCAGCCCTCTGGGCACCCCAGGGAAGCTCCAGGGGTCCCTCTTTGCATGCATGCAGACTGCCCAGCCTCTACTTTGCCCCATGAAGGGGGAAACCTGAGGTTCATTACTCTTAACCTTTGGACACAATGACCTCTTCTCTGGAGGGCCTGGAGCTCAGAAGTGCAGGGTAATACCCAGTCCCAGGACAATGAGAATCCCTGAGCAGAGTGCTCTGGGACCAGGATGCAACAGGAGGCCAGAGATCAGGGTCCTCAGGGACAGCAGAGGTCAGAGGACCTGAGCCATGGCTTGATCACATGTCCAGAACACACAGCCCTCCCTGCACCTCTTGCTCCATTTCACTCTTTCATCTCAGAAGGAAGCTAACAGAAGCTTTGGAGCCCCAGGGGAACACACGCTGAACTGAATATTACAGGAAAAAAGTGCCACAGAAATAGAAATGCTGCAATGAGAATTAGAAATCAAAGTATCTGCCCTAAATACAACATGAGCCAACATTTATTTACACTGAACCATGCACTTTTCACATACAGTATCTCACTGGGTACATTCACACTGAGGAGACCATACTGACACCCTCGTTTTGCAGATGGTAAAGCAGAGGCTCAGAGAAGTTAGGTCATTGCTGAAGATCACACAGTTGACAGAAAGGGGACTCACACTCCAGATCTCATGAAATAGTTTAAGGATTTATGTTTGTTAAACGAATGAAGTAACTAACAGACTGGTGCAAATTAATGATAATCCCTCGCTCACACAGTGTCATGAGATTTATAAAGACATTCCCCAACATTATCTCACTGGATCCTGCCAACAGCCCTATGAGGTTCTGGACGCTCTGATTTTAGGAAACCTGACACTTAAACGACCAATTTCTCCACGCCAGGCAGGAAGAAGAGCTAAAAACCATAGGTTGCTACTCTTTAGACTTCCGCTGCTATAAACCCAGCCTGCTGTCTTAACCGCTGGACTCCAGCTCTTCCCATGCCCAGACACCTAGGTGACGCTCAATAAATATTTATTTAATAAATTAAAGAATGAATGAGAGCGAAGAGAATCAATATCAGATTATGAATGGGGAAGAGATTTAAAAGTTGACGCAGTCTACAAGTAGGTCTGGATGGCAGATACAGTAGAAGTCTCCTGGTTTCCATTCTGCCATCCCTTCCAACACACATGCCTTCGTTTCCTACTACCTCCTTATGCTCGACATTCTTACAGTGGTTTGTGTTTCCAGTACTGCACAAGAAGAAACCTCCTTGGAGATGGAGCCTACATTGAGAGAGTAGAGTTGAGAAGTGAAGATTAAGAATCAGGTCCTTGGCTGAGCTCTGGATCAAGCCTCACCTGATCCAGACACATCCCAGACCAGTCCACTGAAAGAAGGCCAGTGCAGTCAGTTAAGTGGCTGACTCTTGGTTTGGGCTTGGGTCATGCTCTCAGGGTCGTGGGATTGAGCCCTGTGTCAGGCTTTGTGCTAAGTGGGGAGTCTGTTTAAGATTCTGTCTCCTTCTCTGGCCCCTCCCTCTGTGTGCACTCTCGCTCTCTCTCTCTCGCTCTCTCACTCTCTCTTTTTAAAACATTTTATTTATTCACTTGACAGACAGAGATCACAAGTAGGCAGAGAGGCAGGCAGAGAGAGAGGGAAAGCAGGCTCCCCACTGAGCAGAGAGCCTGATGCGGGGCTTGATGCACGGTGGGATCATGACCTGAGCCGAAGGCAGAAGCTTTAACCCACTGAGCCACCCAGGCACCCCTACGCTCTCTCTCTCTCTCTTAAATAAATAAATAAATAAATAAATCTATTAAAAAAATAGATGAGGGAGTGCTTGGCTGACTCAGTTGGTTGGGTGTCTGACTCTTGGTTTCAGCTCAGGTCATGATCTCATGAGTCATGAGATCCCGCGGTGAGGGCCTCCCTCAGCGGGAAGTCTGCTTGAGATTCTCTCTTTCCCTCTTCCTTCGCCCCTGTCCCCCATATAAACAAATAAATCTTTTTTTTTTTTTTTTAAGAAACTCATTTCTATTTAGACACTTAAGGACACAGTGTGGTTTTTGCTCAACATTGCATTTCCAGTACAGGGCTTCACATATTAGGCACTCGATAAGTATTTATTGAATAAATTAGTGATTGAAGTGACTTCTTTTTTTTTTTTTTTTTTTTACCAAGATGTGGTTTTTAGAATATTAGATCAGGTAGGATGCTTTTGATGTAATAAACATAAAAATCAAACACAAACTGGTTTACAGTAGAAAGCAGAGGAGAGGAGGATTCTTTTTTTTTTTTTTTTTTAAGACTTTTTAAATTTATTTGACAGAAAGAGAGAGTACAAGCAGGGGGAACAGCAGGCAGAGGGAGAAGCAGGCTCCACACTAAGCAGAGAGCCCCATGCAGGACTTGATCCCAGGACCCTGGGATTACTACCTGAGCTGAAGGCAGACGCTTAACCAACTGAGCCACCCAGGTGCCCTCATCACCTAAAAGAATTTTTAAGAATTTTTATCCAGCCTTTCTTGGTGTTCTGAAGGAAGGGTTTTCAGCTTATGTAATCCACCATACTTCCAGGAATAGTATAGGGCCTCCTGCAGGGACATGCACAGAGTAGATGAGCAATGCATTTTCCTTGAATTATATGAGGACAGATTGAGTCACCTGACTTCAGTGCCGAGTTGGAATTACATTTTCCCCAACAGTAAGTTTGAGATAGCCACCACAAGTGCTTTGATCCACAGTGAGAGATGGAGGAATTATTCTGAGAAGACAAAAAATTATGCTTCATTGGGAGGGCTGTCTCGTGTACACTCAAACACTGACTTAGGCATGTTACTGATAGTATCTGCTTATGCTCTTGGGTGAACCCCATGAACAAGTGTCCCCACTGGACAGCTAAATGGCCTTTCCTCCAAAAGTGAGCAAACAAGTCTGAGTTTAAAAACTTCAAATGTAAAAAAAAAAAACAAAAAACAAAAAAAAACTTCAAATGTTCTCAGTATTATTAATTTCATGCTATTTATATCTAAATGTTATTGAATAATCATTATTTGGTTATTTGATCAACCTATTTCATTATTTAAATTTAATTATTATTCAGGAAAATAAAATATCCACGCTTGCTGCATTAACCAGAAATCAAGCTTGGCAATAGGATTCATACTTCAGCTTTGCTCCTAAGGAAGTGCCTGCGAAGCACTCTTTGAATTTTGCATCCATTTCCTGGTTCTGAGTTTCACTGAACAAATTCTTCCAGTCGCCAACTTCACCTGCAACACACAAAAAACAACAGATCCAGATATCTGTTAGAATATTTCTTCCTGGGGAGCCTGGGTGGCTCAGTGGGTTAAAGCCTCTGCCTTTGGCTCGGCTAGGGTCATGATCCCAGAGTCCTGGGATCAAGCCCCGCATCTGGCTCTCTGCTCAGCGGGGAGCCTGCTTCCTCCTCTCTCTCTGCCTGCCCCTCTGCCCACTTGTGATCTCTGTCTGCCAAGTAAATAAATAAATCTTAAAAAAAAAAAAAGAATATTTTTTCCTGATTTTTTTTGAGCTTCTTTCTTATTTTATTTTATTTTTATTTTTATTTAGGTATAGTGACACACAGTGTTACATTAGTTTCAGGTGTATCACACCTGAGTTCAACAACTCTCTAAGTTATGCCCTGCTCACCACATGTATAGATCCCCTCCGTCACCTGTATACAACACCATTACAACACCATTGACTGCATTCCTAATGCTTTCTTTGCCTTTTATTCTTGTGGCTTATTCATCCCATAACAGGAGAAGTGTACCTCCCATGCCCCTTCACCCCTTTTGCCCATCCCCCACCCCATTTCATCTCAATTTTACCATTTTTCAGTGCAGCATTTCACTCTGAAATGTGAAAATGGACACATGAAGAAAATTGGTCTTTTTTTTTAAGATTTTTTTAAAGTTTTTTTGTTTTGTTTTGTTTTTTGTTTGTTTTTTTTTTTTTTTTACAGAGATAGAGATCACAAGTAGGCAGAGAGGCAGGCAGAGAGAGAGAGGGAAGCAGGCTCCCCGCTGAGCAGAAAGCCCCATGCAGGGCTCCATCCCAGGACCCTGAGACCATGACCTGAGACCATGACCTGAGCTGCAGGCAGAGGCTTAACCCACTGAGCCTCCCAGGCACCCCAAGAAAATTAGTCCTAAGAATGAACGTAGACTCTTGTAAAATTAACGATATTCACTGGGGATTCCCCATCTGTGGCATGGGAGGTGATTTGCTCTTTACATCACTGAGGGGACGATAGGCTTCAGAGAGCTCCTATTCCCCCCTCCAACACCCCCCCCATCTCAAGCTTTGAGACATAAATTTCCACTTTTTGAAAGTCATTTTTTTTTTCCCTCTGTAAAGTCTTTTAAATACTTTAACCCTTGAGAGGTTATCAGTTTCCAGCAGGATTTTGTGAAAACCTCAGATTATTGAAAATTTTGCAGGAAGTTATTTTGCCTGAGATTAGGATATGTTTTCTCTTTGCTCTTAGAAGTGAAGGAAGTTACTTCTTTCTTTAGAATCTTTTGGTGATTTGGGTTGAAGGTGTAAGTTCCTTGTTGCATAGCCATTTGAAATGTATATTTATAAAGAGGATTTGATGACAGGAGGAAATGCTTAGATATATGAAGGGATTAACATAAAACACAAAACTATTTACAAATGTCATCCACTACATAAAAGATCACAGAGTAAGGCCGGAAGAAATATGCTAAAAAAGTTAAACATGCCTCTGGTGGGAGAAATGTGGATAATTTTTAATGCTTTTTCAAATTTTCCTGTGCTTTCTGAATTTTCTACAAAGACTATTATAACATTTTTAAATTATTACTTTATTTTAGAATTTTTCTGTTCGAATAGTGC